CAGCTTCTTCACCACTGCGTCTGACGTTGTCTCTCGCAGTCGGTCAATTCCGAAGAAGTTGCTGTGGTAGTCTACGGTGATCAGGTATTCACAGCCTCTCCATGACAGCAGATCAGATGCTACTTTTTGCCATGGTCTTTGTGGTACCTCGGCGATGATGGGTGACTCTGCTGGCTGTTTCGCAGCATATGTTGCACAAGTCATGTTGCACAAGTCCCGTATGATTCTACATATTGCCTGATCTCTGACTACATCCCCGGCCAGAATATTAGTTCTCTGGCTCTTCGCAGGGACGAATTTATCCCCAGATGTCCCTGATGGACTTTCTCTTTCATCTCTCTTCTCAGACTGGCAGGAATGACTATCCGCCCGCTTCTCAAGATGACTCCATCCTGAACATTAAGTTCGTCCCTGTAACTGAAATAAGGACGAACGCTCTCGTGCATGTCCCTCGCCTCGTTAGGCCACCCCTTCATGATGACCTGCGCCAGGGTCACAAGGGTGTCATCTGTCAACGTAGCACCCCTGATCTGACTTATCCTTTCATCCTTCATTGGATGGCAGGTGATGTTGTGTACACTCACAATTTTCTCATGTGGTGGTTCAGACGTTGGTGCTTTGGAGAGTGCATCTGCCAGTGTCTCTTTCCCAGGCTTGTACTCCAGTCTGTACGAGTACATCTGAGCCCTCAGAATTAGATTCTGCAGTCTCTTTGGGGCTTTCGATAGTGGTTTTGCGCAGATGGACACTAGTGGCTTGTGGTCAGTAGTAATCTCCACTTCCCGGCCAAACGTGTAATAGTGGAACTTCTCCAAGCCATACGTTACAGCTAGCATCTCTTTCTCTATCTATGCGTAGCGACGTTCAGCCTCTGATAGGGAGAGACTTGCGTACGCTATAGGCCTGCCCTCTTGCAGCAGAGCAGATCCAAGACCATATTTACATGCATCATTCTCTAGCCTCAGCTTCTTGGCAGGGTCGTAGAAGGCTAGTACAGGGGTTTTCGTGATCATGTCTTTCATCATGTCGAAGGCCTCCTGCTGTGCTTGGGACCAGGTCCACGGAACGTCTTTCCTTAGCAGATTGTGTATTACCATGGTGGCCATAGGTATGAACTTGGTCAAGTAGTTGACCATCCCTAGGAACCGACGTAGCTCTTCCACCCCTCGTGGTTCTTTCATTGCTTTAATGGCCAGCACCTTTTCAAGGTCAATGCTGAGGCCATCTGCAGAGATACGGTGGCCCATGAAGGTCAGTGTCCTCGCTGCCACTTCCATCTTGTCAGCATTCAGCTTCATCCCAACCTTCTGGCATCTCTCTAGGAATTTCTTCAGCTTCTCATCATGTTCCTGCACTGTTATTGTGTGGATTACTACATCATCAGCAATGCATCCTACCCATGGCAGGTCGTTAAGAGTTTCAAGCAGCTTCTTCTGAAATATTTCAGATGCCACACTCAAACCAAAGGGTAGTTGGAGCTACCGAAATTTCCCATAGCCGGTTTGAAACGTCGTGAGCAGGCTTGATTCTCGGTCAAAAGTGACATGCCAGTATTCCTGACGAGAGATCAGCCTTCGAGAACACTCTTGAGCTTCTTAGCTCATGTAGCACATTATCAAGAACTGGGAGTGTGTAGTGTTCTCGGAGTAGGGCCTTGTTCAGTTCGTGAGGGTCTATGCATATTATCAGCTCTCCATTCTTCTTGTGAGCGAGTACTATCTGGCTGACCCATGGGGTTGGCTCCTCAACGGGGGTGATGACATTCATCTTTATCAGTCTATTTAGCTCCTCCTTCAGTTTTGGCCTTACCGCAATAGGGACTCTTCTGGTAGGCATCACTACAGGTATTGTGCCTGGCTTTACATTTAGATGCTGAGCATTTGGTAATTCTTTCAGCTTCCCATCAAACACGTCCGCAAAGTCATCTTGCGTGGTCATCGCAGCAACCATGTCGAAGTTATCGCAGCATACTTGTATGAGCTTCATCTGTACGCTGGTCTGGTAGCCAAGAATGGGTTGTCTGTCGTCATCAAAAACAACAAAAGGCACCGAGTATCTCTTCTTGTTTCTCGGATTCATCACCTTCATACGGCATGTGCCAGCAGGCTCGTGACTTCCTGAGGTCACCTTTGTGACGGGTTTCCCTTTTCCTTGAGACCGGAGGTTATTGCACCACTCATTCACCTGACCTCGGCGAGTCTTGAATCGCCCTTGTGCCCTCGGTCTCTGTCGTCTGTTTGCCATATAGTGCTGGTTTGCCGGCAGGTCTGGGCATCTTGACTGGAAGTGATTTTGCTTGCCGCAGTTTCGGCACGTTTTCCCGTAGGCAGGACACCTTTCCTTCTTCATAACATGGGATGCGTCACAGAACCGGCACTATTCTCTCTGCTCTTTTTTGCTTCTCTTGTGAATCTTCGCACTTATTTTGTGCACAGTGTCGGGCGTGTCCGTTTTCAGTGTTCGGTCGCATACAGAAGCAGACTCTGCAGCTCTGCATATATATATATGTCGATGCATCTCCCAAGGTCTAGTTTCCTTATTTTTAGAAGGTCTTTCCTTGTGTCACTTCCTCTTATGCCAAGTACGATTCTATCTCTAATCATTGATGGCTCCCACTCACTGCAGAACTTACAGGTCCGTGCGAGCGATAGGAGGTCCGCCAGGAAGTGTTCGAAGTCTTCTCCTTCCTGCTGACTTCTACGATGGAATAAGACTTTCTCCATCGTGTCGTTGACCTCTCCGATGGAATACTCATGTAACTTGTCTGTTATCTCGGTAACAGTCCTTAGAGACTCAGGAGTCGTGAAACTGAATCCACCAAACGTCTTCATGGCATCATCAGCTAGGCAGTTCTCCAGCATTGCCACTTGAAAAGCTCGTTCTTGGGTGTCTAACCCTGACAGTAGGGTGTAGTTATCCCATCTCTTCTTAAAGAGTTTCCAGTTTCCTACCTTGTCATCTCTTAAGGTCAGCGGCTGCGGGGGTTTTATGCTGCCAAAGTTATGGGCACGGCGGCCAGACACATCGCCGTTTTCCACATTATAGCCTCCATTGTGCTGCACTGTAGAATTCGAATTTTAGTCCAGGCTAGGCAGACTAGCTTTCTAAAAACTTGCCTGTCTCACAATGTAGCCTGCAGTCGCATCAACGTGTTCACGGTTCTTTCAGTTAACCACTGCCACCATGTTACGTGTTGTGCTCGTGCTCAGATTAATCAGACAATACGTTTTGTCAGGATCACACAACGGGTCACGCTTTATTACAAAAGCCCGCCATACCAGTCCTGCCTCTCTGTTGGGTGAGACTAATCCCCGGGCGCGTGTTTTTTTACCATACCACTAATGCGTAAAATCTTTAGGGCTATTCCAGAAACCACCGCAACCTACGCCTACTCCCTAACCCTAACCCTAACCCTAACCCTAACCCTAACCCTAATTAAATTTAATTAACACTAATAAATTTAATTTAATTTTTAAATTTTTAATAAAATTGTTGTAAATAAATCATGTAAATATTTGCGTTAATTGGGAAAAAATAGTTAAATGGATAAAGATAGAAAAATAAAAACAAATAAAAAATAACCAGATCGGATTCGAACCAAGTCCCTTTGAGACGTAACTCTCGAGCTGTACGAGCTCGGCTATTCAGGGTTATTGGAATTATATATTATGGATGTGCCATTCATACATGGATATGCGTGCATGTGATTGGTCGGTGCGGTGGTTTCTGGGATAGCCCTAGAGATTTTACGCCAAACTGCATGCAGTGCACCTTCGTACACTCAGGATACCAATAGATTGAGCTAGAGTACCTACATAAAGATTATGTATATGTATCTTTATGTAGGTACTCTAGAGTCGTGTTCACACGGTCATGGTTTGGCTCGAGCCAAATGGGCTAGATTTGGCTCGGGCCAAATTTGGTTCGGGCCGGTTTGAGTCGGAGCGTTCACACGTACGCAAGTGAATACTGTCTGTCAAATTAAAATTAAAATTAAAATAATTTTTATTGCACAAATATCTCACAGATACTTTGGCAGTATGTCGCGAGATGGCGTTGTTAGAGTGTTTACTAACGTTCCGAGTTTAATTATCAATCTTTAAAACGTGCATACTGATCAAATTTTTCGAATTTTTATACTGTTTTGGACTTTATTTCGTCGAAGTACAGGTTCGACACTCGCGGCATCTACCTCTCAACCGATTCTACCGCTCTACCGCTCGCCGAAAGCTGGTGCTAAAATTTGGCTCGGGCCTGGTCCGACGTTTTCGATGGGACCAAATCTGGCACGGGCCTAATTAGGCTCGGGCCAAAAACGTCCATGTGAACGCTCGGCTCGAGCCAAATCTGGCGCGGGCCTAATTAGGCTCGGGCCAAAAAACGTCCGTGTGAACGCTCGGCTCGAGCCAAATCTGGCGCGGGCCTAATTAGGCTCGGGCCAAAAACGTCCGCGTGAACGCGCCTTAGATTGAGCCAATGAGCGAGAGCGCCATCTGTCGTGGAGTTTGGGTGCACTGCATGCAGTTTGGGGATTAGTCTCACCCCTCTCTGTTGCCGGGATGCACGCGTAGCGCCATCTACTTGCATAATAGCTCATAAACGTATCACTTAACAGGCGAAACACTGCGTGTCTGTCTCGATCACTACGATTTTTATAATAATATAATATAATAACAGTTATTACAGCTCGGTGGTCTCGTTGAACCTCTACCAGGCTCTGCACGCCACCTAGCGTTTCCATAATGAAGATGCTCGTATGCACTGACCGACTAGAATCAACATAATCTGACTAGAGTAATCATGATGTATGCATACACATAGGCAAACCGCGGTCGCGATAAGAACCATAATTTATTCTGACACTGAGTGTTTGGTAGTCCAACCGAAACAGCAATTTGTATGTAGAGATAATCCTGGCGTTTCGTTCATCTATTGAATGACTCTACACGGTTGTATTTGTTTTTCGCATCACCTCTCTTGCAGCGGTTTTAATTGGGGCCATGTTTGGCTTTCTGCTTGCGCAAAGTCTGCTAGGTTTACTCGCAACCTTAGACCTCGGCAAAGTGGCAGGTGATGTCTTTGCATGCGAGAAAGGCACACTCTTCGTCGTCTTCACGTGTTCATCAGTCATGGTGACGTTCATGACGGTAACAGGGATAGTATGTACTTTTTTCTTTTTTTACGGGGAAGCCGTTGTAACCGAGTTTTGTTTGCCATGGTATTGGCGTCTAATATAACTTCGAGTAGTACAATATTTGTGAGTACGCGCCCTTTATTTCATATGTATAATTTAAATTATTTTAATTAATTATTTTATAGGATACTGAAGACGAGTGAGCACCTAACTCTATTATGTTTCATTGCGGGAAGACTCAAGGCCTTATAAACATTAAAGTAAGAGATATAAATAAGAGAGAAATAAAGTGCGAAATATAGATATTTCATGTCTATAAAACTACTTGTTACAATGTGCATTCTACTTTAAATGTATAATTTCAATAAAACGATCTATCGTATAGCAGATAGTGGACATGCGCGAACACGAATCTAACCACACGCATAATACCAAGAGCGTATAAAGAAGGTATTAAAGACGGTTATAGCAATCGTATTCTATACTGTTAAATAAATAAATAAATATATATTAGTATATATATAAAATATATAACTATATTTATATTATACAACATACAAATCTCATTGATTTTCAACCATATGTAGAGCATGAATTGATTATAGGCCTCCCTACTTCTATTCCGTACTAAAATGCTATTATAACGAAATTTCCAAGAATTATAAACAGACAAAAACGTCATACATGGTGTTCACTACACTCGTGTATATTATATACAAATTTCGTCGCCAGAATATTCAAACGATACCAATATAACAAATTTTTTTCAAGCCAACAACAAATAATATAATAATCATTAATACATGTGTGCGTGCCGTGCGTGCGTGACGGTGTTGGTGTGCCTGCAGTGCGTGGGTGCGCGTGGGTGTGTGCGTATGTCGATGTGTGTGTGTGTGTAGGGGCGGGGGTTATGTGTGTGTGTGTGCCCATTGGCAAAATCTGATCTTCGCGATATCTCTACTGGCCGCCTAGCAACCCGATATTCCCTTGCTCGTATGTCTAAGCTAGCGTTGAGCAACTCGCGCGGGTCGCCACGTCGCCCTAGACGCCCCGGACAATGCTTTCTGACCGATCCTACGCTCTTATAAAACCAGGCGGATGCCGATTGTGACGCGTTGCTCGCACAATATGGTGCACGGTAAAACCCGATCTCAGAATTTGATGCCATAGCTTCCCGCCTATTTTCCTGCCGGCTATGCCTCAAGTATATGTCAATGGCGCGCGGGTCGCCTCATCGCCCTTATATAAGCGCCAAGTCAATGCTTTTTCGCGCCGATCCCATGTGCGTTTAAAAATGACAGGCTCGAGATATGTACGTGGTAAAATCCGATCCCCACAATTATAAATCGGCCGGCGAAGCATCCATCTATTCCCATCTCCGTGGCCTTGTATGACCTGGGTGGCAATGCAGTATCAGATCACTAGCTTTTTAAATAAAAAAGCTGTAGGTAATAATTGTCAGTATTCCCCCTCAAAAAATTGTAATAAATTAATGGACAAGTTACATTTTACAGAAACAAAATTTATAATTTGCAAAACACGGTACAATTATCTTCTTCAAGCCGTACGTTACTACCTGATCCTATAGCCTAGGCCCCTATGCTACATGTCGTGGCGTTTTTTTTTTTCAGTTTTTAGCTCCGCTTGAAATTTTTGCTCAACCTACGGCTCTCGTAATGAAATGCCAGCATATATTATAGGAAACAAACCGTATTGCCTAAAATATTCCACACAGCCGCCATATGATGTCATTTCGTATGCGTGTACGTTTGGTGGATATAGCTAGTCAGATAACCACGTACATGCACAAAAATCCTCATCTGAACTACCTTGACTGTTTCACTAAAGAATCCATTAAGTACGTAGTTAATAAGCCTCTTCAATATATAGAAATATCTCGTATACAATATTATTATCTAGTCAATTAGCGCCTATCAGCGAATAAATATTTTTAGGAAGAGAGAACTATAATTATTATAATCAGCCGGGTAATAATTGGACAATTATGTCATAATAAGATAATTATGTCAAATTAATTTGTTGATATAATGTGAGGAGCAGTGCTGGCTACCACTCATTAGAATTAATATTAGATAATCTATTTTACTATTATCAGGCGTTAATAAACTGCAAACATTATTTTGTTTTTATTAAACTCCTTGATATTATTTTCTATGCCTATCCACCAGCAGCCCACTAACACTGGCCCAACCAAAAGATCGTATAGTGCCTCCGGCCTCGGCTTCCCGCACGCGTGTATTTTTTTCTAGGTCAATCAAGAACATAGGGCCCTCTATCGGCGGGAATGCATTGGTGATACAAATCACGTGCCTCAAACTCCTGTTTTATGGTGCATTCACTGCATTGTGACCCTAACCCATAACCCTAACCCTAACCTAACCCCTAACCTAACCCTAACCCTAACTCCCTAACCCTAACCTCTAACCCTACCTAACTAACCTAACCCTAACCCTATTTAATTAATAAATTTTAATTTTTAATGTTGCAAAAAATTAATTGTGTTATTAAAATGTTGTAATAAATTCATGTAAATAGATTTTGAGTTAATTGGTCAAGAAAAATGTTAAACAGATAAGATAGAAAAATCAGAAAACAGGAATAAAATAATTAGGAAAACGGATGGGATTTGAACTTGCGACTATTCATACTTGGCGCAGCCGCTCTAACGTTATCCTTACTGCGACATATTTGGAAATATAATTTTATTTATGTCTATGTATATCGCCGAGACAACAAGCTCAACCAATAGCAGCGCTGATACAGCCCTATGTCTTGATTGACCTAGGAAACAATCGATCTTTGCTGGATACCACAAACAGATGGCGGTGGTAAGCTTAGGTTGAAGAATGGCCCAGCGAAACCCAATTTCGACTCTTCCCGTCGATGCCTAGGAAACAGCTCTATTCTCTGATGCCGTCCGAGGGTACCCGGAGAATGGTGAGAAAGCAACTGCATAGCAGCGCCCCCTTCCCACACTCAGCTATGATATCACTACTACGGCACTTCAGGATATGACTTTACTAGGACACTAAAAAAAAAGAAAACCCTAAACCCTAACTCCTAACCTAACACCTTAACTCTAAACCATAATCTCTAATACCCTAACCCTAACCTCGCCGCCCCCCCCTCCCAGCCGCACCGCCGTATAATTAAACCTAACCACCAACAAAAAAGCGCGCCCCCCCCTGCCGTACCCCCTCTCCCCACCGCCAGGATTCTCCATTGCCCCACCCCCGCCTCCCCCCCCCAACCTATTGTAAATTAATACTATGTCATTGAATTACTTTCCGAATTACCGTCTTCGTCATTAACACTTTGCAGTATGGTCAATGGCACCAGGCACTGCGAAAAACCGTGTAAGATTGTTTCGAAATCATATTAGGAAGATTAGCAGATATGCTTGCTAATGATAATTCGAAAATAATTAAAAACGTTTCTAAGATAAGGAAACTTGTCTCACTCCAACTTCGGCACTGGTACGTTAGATTTAGCCGCCCTACTAATTAGTAGAATGAGTTTGTATTCGTCACTATTTATTATTAGTAATACTAATTATCTACTAATAGTATTATAATTTAGTTACTGTTGAGTGTTGACCCTACTTAGTACTTCACTTGCCGACCTACGTCTTCAGTACTTGTTGTCAGATTACACTACGTAACCGAGCAAGCCTAGTGAAGGACTTGAGTGCAAGATGTGATAAAGATGAGATAAGATAAGATAAGCCCAAGCGCAGGGTTGATCTATCATTATCAATGTCAATTTGATCAACGTTGTCTCGCACTATTCGACGTATAAGACTAATCGGAATCATTATGAGGCCGTGAGGGTGAGGACCCCCTGATCACATAAAGTCATAATGATATATCATGTGTTATCAGGAGTCTATCAATATTGATCCTGATTGACTCCTGGTGTTATGAATAGGTGTAATGTGTTACATCATGAATATTGATTATGATTATGAATATGATTATGAATACAAGCTATATAGCCTATACCTATATAATTATGCAGCTAATTGTGGACAGACCAACTTAATTTCCTGCGGAAGTGGCAGGGCTTTAATGTTAAACTTATAGTGCGAAAATAAGATAAAAATGCATTAATTTTACGTTTTTACAGAAAAACTTCACAGATATGTACAAGTTAAAGAGTGTATCACCATCATCCTGTCAGATATGATTTTAGGGGATGTGATGTAAACTGCTGGCCACACAAGAAAATGGCCAAAAGTTCAACTCCCTCTTTAATTTGTGTGTAGGTAATTATTGTAGCATAAATACCAGATTAACATATTTTTACCCCCCTACCATTTTACTGTGCCAGGAATTCCTTTCAGTTCTGCAAGATAGGTACGTGCAACATAGGTGGAATGTAGAGGCATACTTGATTATATAGTTGGGTTGTGTGCCCGATATAATATACTAGTACTACCCATGATTTGATTTGGCTTAGATTCTGGTTATAGGGATGATGCGTGATGATGTATCATCTATACTTACATGGGCCCTAAAGTAGTTTTGAGCCAAGTCTATACTATACGCACACACATACGCACGCACATACACTTGGTAGTTATACCTGCAGGAATGGCTAGAGGTTCACTGGGCACACCAACCCATTTAACCAGTACTAAGATGTAAATTTCTTTGCAGTGATATGGCGGGGCACCGATGTGACTTATCGGTAATATTAGCTGCAAATACAGTAGAAGTCCAAAAATCCTGACTGCTCACTACTCAGGGATTGTGTCGGTCCGGATTTTCGATAAGTCCAGATTCTCGGGTTGTCCGGATTTCTGGTATCTGGATTTTTTGACTTCTTATGTGCTTGGATCAATTCAGAAAATAAAATGACACATAACCTATAAAGTCAAGTTATATATTCATTTACTCAGTATAATTCTATCAGTATATGTTGTTCAAATGCACCAGCACGGTTTAACGACACTGTTAAGTGTACAGTGCTTCTATATAACTGCATAGGACC